ATAATGACGATTCAAAATAGGAGTCGAATGCAAGCATACAGAACAACAGTCGGCTTACCGAACTATCTCCGCTTAGTGCGAACTTGTTGGCTTGCGCCCACTCCGTTCCAGTGTAGTGCTCGGCGGTGGTGTACTAAGAAGTGGTGGATCTTTCCCAGTAAGCGTTCTTCCTATAAAAAACCACAAAAGTCTCTTTGACAACACCGCGACATGACGGATGTGACTAACCCCTTAATGAAGTCGCTGCCTCTTGCTTCACATCAGTGGGGCAGTTTACTGCAGCTAGTGTGCTGATATTCACGATTCCGTGAATTCGACCCACTACCTTGAGCGCACACTATTTAGTCAAAGGCTCGGGGTAGTGTCCCTTAAGACGATCTATTTCGGCCTAGGCGACCGGGTAGTATCATGTCCAATAACAAAATCATGGATCGTTCATTTGATACATCACTCTCAGCTGCTTCTGCTTCCGCTATCCACACGCCTTCATACGTTAACTGTCCGTTAGTTACCAATCACATTTACGCTATATCAGCTGATTCCGGTTCTCATGACACTACTCCATTTGGTTGCGTTGAAGACCACAGAGCTCGTCCAGAGGCTCTTCTTTGGTCACGATCCTCGTTTCGTCTGACATGTTTTAATGTAAATACACCCATGCAAATAGGAGCAAAAGGCTAGCCTTGCGCGAACCTTGGAATTCCTCGTCACAGATGTTTGGTGTCTATCCGAAATGCACTTGCAAGATGCTGGTACTGTGGTTGAGTTGAGATCTCCAACCAACCACCGAGCCCTATAATAATAATACTAAAAATAATACGTATGTTTGTCAGTTGTGCGAACTGTCCCTGAATTGCGGACGGATCACGAGTACACTAACGATCATGCACATTCATGAGTGATATGTATTTTGGGCTTCTGACATCAAATCATTCTGAGGCACATAGCTAATTTTGTTGTCGAGTTTTTCGTGCAACATCTATTCTCAATTGTTATATATTACCTGACCGAGCCTGGAAGAACTCATTTAGTGAGTTACCTGATGGAAACATGGTCATTATCGAGGTTTAGGCCAGGAAATTTCCAAGTTTAATACGGTATGTTATTGCATTTGTGCACTAGCTGATTGCGGTTAGTAGGCTGTTCCACACGACAGCGTATCTAATGAGGGAGTAGTTGAAGCGAATAGCTATCCTGGTTCCAGGCACAGTTGATTTATAAATCCTGTTGTGTAGATTCCGAATGAAGTGAGTTTGTAAGTTTGGTGTGCATAGATTAAAGTATGGCTTTTGGTTTATGGATTGTGTATCAACAGCACATTCTGTTTCAGTTGTCAAAAACAAATGGGTTGGAGCGAAGTTTCTGGCGGCGTTTCTGATAACGCAAGGTGGACGATTTACTGACCAAGCGTTTTGTAAATGATCTTAGCAGGATTTCCAAAGCTTCCATATCACTCATTCGCATGTTCTCATAAGTGATGCAGCAATCTTCAAGGACAGAAAGTGAGAGTGGTTTGAAAAGCAAGATTCTAGCAGGGACTGTATGAATTTTATGTCATAATTCAAATATAGATCGTTTGACACATGCTATTTGATAACCAAGCTGGCTCTGAGAAGTTAAAAGTTGAAGAGTATCGTTTGCCTAGATCACAGTTGGATAGTTGCACCCACTTTCATTGTTCAGTTTAACTGATTCTTCAGGGATCAAACATCCATATGATATGATGCACGAGTTATTAGTTGAGAACTTTAT